ATGGATGTATAAGGGAGGAATATATGAATCAGAGTATATGCATCTCTACCGCGCAGCGATAATATAGCTTGTAGTTTCCAGTCAAACCTGAATGTAACGGATCGAATGTAACGTTTAATGCTCGCCTAGTTGCACGATAAGAGTAATCATCACAGAGTACGAGAGCAGCCAGGATGGAGCGCGAATATGTGAAGAACTCCCGATCTTCCTTCGGGTGTTTCGAGTACAGAAGTTTCATAATCACATTGCAGTGAACATTGTTAAGAGGAAGAATTCCCTAAAATAACTTTTTAAAGACTTAATTAAAATCTCTTAAAAGTGATGTGAGAAAAATTTTTATTTTATATAATATGTTTATATAATATGTTGTAAATAATTTTTTTATGTCTATCTGAATTTTATAAATCATTAATTATAAATATCAGTAGTAATTAAGACCTTTATAGCGATATAATTTGTGTAAATCAATTTTTTAATATCAATTTATTGTAATTATCTTAAATAGAAAAAACAATTTAGATAATGATTCAAGAATATAAATTTTTCTCCGAATCGTTTTGCTTTGATAAATATATTTAAACATTTTCAAATATCTTTTATATTTCATATCTTTTTCATAAAAAATATTTTTATTTTAATGCCTTTCTAATATCTTGTTTCTTTAATCAAGTGATTATAATTTTATTTTATAATTATAATTAAAATATTTTAGGAACATATTTTCGAATATTGAAAGTGTGCTAAAAATTTTTTTTTTAATATTAATAGAAAATAATATAATATAATATTTAATATAATATTTTATATTAATAGAAAATAATTATATTAATAGAAAATAATATAATATAATATTTAATATAATATTTAATATAATATTTAATTTAATATTTTAGAAAATTTTCTTAATCATAGAAGAAATATACGTATAATTGAAATCTTTTCAATGTTTATCGTCGCACAAACATACAGAATTGTCGGCGGCTTAATTAGTATTGGTTACTAAAAGCTTTTGCAAGAGGACAACGTGAAAGACATACCGGTGATCGTTCATATGTCCGTTTGATAAATCGCAAGACGAGATTCCAGCATTGTACCGTTCATTTTCAAGAGAAAAACGAGTTCGATAACAATGTTAAAGCCGGTGCCGCTTCGTCGCAACATAGTTGACTAAAATAGAATTAATTAGCATTAATGAATTATTATATGAGAAATATAGAGAATATATATCTTGCGTTATTTTATCGCATAGTTTGTTTTGCATTTATTCACGTAATTATTTTGATGATCACATTCGCTATTTATACAAAAGATACATATAAAGATAGAAGATATATATATAACGTTATTACATACGAAAAAATTTTTCTTTTCGTGAGGAATCTATTTTTGCTATTATAAATACGTTTGTACTTTTGCATATTAACTTTAATTATTATTATTTTTTTCATTACTAACAGAACTCGAGAAGAATGCTTTTAGAGAGGAAAATTTTAAACAATTAAAAACAATTTATAGATGAGAGGAGGAAATTTTAAATTTAAATTTCTATTAAAATTGCAAATAATATCATGTCTCGAGCTGATAAAGCTCTATCGCAAATAACTCGAAGGTAATCAAGCGATTCTAAGGGTCCAAGCAATATTTCGCGCTCCCCCGTTCTACCCCGTAAACGACAGAGCGCCGCATGGGAAAGAGACTTCGGCTGTCTCCGGGCTATTTCCACCGGCTTTATTAAATCCAACGTCCCATGAGACAAAGTCGTCAATTAGAGAAGACCGGTGGCGGGTATGTATGTGTCGGGAAGAAGCGATTACGCAGCCGTTACGCGTCGACGTGCCGGTCGAGCAAGCGTAAAGCGCGAACGAGCTCGATTACGTAAACAGCGGCCCGTTAGTCCGCGCTGATCAAGACAAATGCGTTCCTTGCGCGCGTGCGCGCGCGGGCGGATGTCCGGGCGTTATCCGGAAGCCGCTCGCACCTGGAAGGATATCCCTCTGCCGTCCGTCGTAACTTCGCGGCTGACGCCGATAAATCGCGTGGGCGCTCGCACGCGACTCCTCCTTCCTCCTTCCCTCCCCTGCGAGTTTCGGATGCTGAGAGGCATCGGAAAATTGGTTGGATCATAAAGCGGTAGAAAAGCGCGCGGCGGTGAAACTCTCTCTCTCTCTCTCTCTCTCTCTCTCTCTCTCTCTCTCTCTCTCTCTCTCTCTCTCTCTCTCGTTCTAACGACGGAACGGGACCCGACCTAATTACTATAATTAGTCGGCGTAGAACGTAGTCGTCACAGAATACGTCGCGGAAGTACTATACTATACCGGTAGAGGAAAGGGAAGGAGGAGAGGAGGAGAGAGAGAGAGAGAGAAGAGAGAGAGAGAGAGAGAGAGAGAGAGAGTGATAAAGAGAGGAAGGGGAAGAGGGAAAGAGTAATGCTGCCAAGCGACTCGACTGAAGCGTGTCCCGCTAGCGCGGTGCCTGATTATTTTAATTGATGCGCCGCCGTTACGTCCCATTTAATGGACGTTATTCGAAAACAGCCGTCGTCTTCCCTCGCGAATCCGAAAAACTTCGCGAGATTGCGTGTATATACGAGGTACATGCGACGGATGCGAAATGAGACGCCGGGAGGAGATGGGATATATTTGAGAATGTAGGCGGTTTAAGCGGCACAGTTTGATCTTGTTGCACGGCACATGAGGTTTCAGGCTTCCGGCCCTCGATATCTCTTTTAACATTTTCTTTAAGTAACATTATTCGCTTCTGTGGCATTCACGTACGTTGCCAATTAAATAAAAATAATAATACACATTTCCACTTATGCAAAATATATGTTACTAATTTTTTTATTTTATCTTTTTTTTTTTTTTTTTTTTTTTTGAAAAAAAGAATGTCTAGAATTATAACTTGAATTACTGAACGATACGGACGCAAGATAAGATTGTCGCCTGCGAGATGCATAAAAAT